CCACACCCACGTCGTGTCGACACGGGTGCGGCACTGAAAGTGAAGAGTCCGAGCAACTTAGGTATATGCACTATCAACTAAAGAAACAAATACTCACATTGTCACGAACTAGTGACGCATAACCAACATAAGCTTGGAGAGGAATATGCCTTTATTGGGCCTAAGACCTATTTATTTTAGGGGCCTGAACTTTAACCTCAACAGCCTCATTGGATCATTGGCTAATCATTGCAGATACTGAAGATATTACTTACTAACCTTGAGAAGGTGAGGTGGTTAAATCTCCCCGCCTTTGAACCGGCCTTCATTCAATGCAACCACACTTCAAAATACATCAATTCTAACAACAAAAACATAAAAGTAGAGCCTACTAACATTGATACATCAACACATTTAGCTGTAATTTTACAATCTTTTATTTTCAGGCAGTCTATCAAGTGCCTTGCTTGTTTGATCACAAAAAAAAGATAGAGAAAAAAAATAGAGATCTGGTGCCTTTCTTGTTTTCTTGCTTGTAGACCAACTGATAAAAGGTGTGTTTTCTTTATAAAAACAGCGCAACACCTGAATTAGCCAACATCGATTGGGACAACCTTGGCTTTAGCATTACGCCTACTGATTATATGTATATCATGAAATGTTCTCGAGATGAAAACTTTTCTAAGGGTGAGCTACAACGTTTTGGGAACATTGAGTTGAGCCCATCTGCTGGGATATTAAATTATGGACAGGTCTGTTTTGCACCTTGTCTTGGTCTTGATTTTCACTCCAAGCAACCTTTTTCTTAATCTTAAATACATTGCTTATGTTATTCATTTTCATGACTAGTGTTATATTTTCATCTGTCAAACGTTACTTAAAATGCTTTTAGAAATATCGACAGGGACTGTTTGAAGGTTTAAAAGCCTATAAAAGACATGATGGTAATATATTGCTGTTTCGACCCGAAGAAAATGCTCTGCGCATGAAGATGGGAGCAGAACGTATATGCATGCCTTCACCATCTGTTGAACAATTTGTGGAAGCAGTAAAAGCCACTGTTTTAGCAAATGAAAGATGGGTAAATGAGTCACTTCAATCTTAGTGTGAAATCCTGTTATTGGGAGATTTCTGTCCTGACTTCAATTCCTTACTTCAGATTCCTCCTCCAGGTAAAGGTTCATTATATATAAGACCACTGCTTATGGGGAGTGGAGCTGTTCTTGGTGTTGCTCCAGCTCCTGAGTACACATTTCTGATTTATGTATCACCTGTGGGAAACAATTTTAAGGTACTTTTTTCAGCATCCTTGACTTACATGTGTCTTCTTTTTTGATGCATAGGCATCGCACATCTGGATTTCTTCTCCTTTTGGTCTTTCCTTCACCTTTTATATTGTCATAAGTTGTGGCAATTGACTACTTAAAAGTTGAATTTTATAGGCTTTAGATGCTTGAAGTGTAATTAAACCATGTTCATCAGTTTGAATGTTTCTGTAAAAAGGATGTATGTGGAGATTTTTACCCTACTTCTTAGTATTATCCCCTGTTTGGTGTGCATATATGTATATATAGTAGCAAGCGTTGCTGCATAAAATGTTTAAGTGAAAAAGAGAGTAACTTGAAATGGCATGAGTAGAGATGTGTGGACGTGTGGCAGTATGAATAGCAGAGTGGAGTTTAAATTTCTTTTTCTTTTTTGAATTCCTATCAGATGCTAATTAAGAAAGCTTATTACTGGTGTACTGGCAGTTGGTTGGATCACACCCCAGGCTTCGACTGTAACTTTTCGTTTGGGTTCACAACTGCTTCTTTCAGTTTTTCTCTTATTATATCAGTCCTTGAAAGTGTTAATAATTGGTAAAAAGAATAGCTTAACGTAGATGCTAAGGGTGCATGCACCTTTTACTTGAGAGAACTTCAAATCCAAATCTATTTGACTTTGCGCTTATTTGGTTTATTGCCTTCATTGGATGCATGTACCAAGAACCTTTCCTGTTTTGCAAAATTTTGTTACATATTTTCTTCGCTATGTACGAGATTACCCATCAAGTTAATTTTTCCGTTCAAGGACTACGTCCATCTTTGCGAGATGTTTCAAAACTTGTACAGCAAACTACAGATTTTGCAGAAAACAAAATGATGAATTCACCCTTCTGATTGTGAAGTATCATTTCCCGTAGATTACCCTGATAAAACTTCTGTCAATATTCGTTCCTATTGGAGATGTAAAAGGATATATCATTGTGGTCTATTTTATAAATTATGCTTCACTCCTAAAATTCAAAGCCTATAAATGAGGAAGTCTTACTGCTAAATTGTCTGAATAGATGAGTGTTTAAGTTCATCATGATCCATGATATTACTGGTGTCACAGAGATAACAGGTTGATTATTCCCCTCCTTCCTTCCTCCAAAACCAATCTTCTTCTCAAATATACATTTAAAAGTATTGCCCCGAGGAAGAGGGGGGTGGGGGTGGGGGCTGTGGAGCACAAATTATATATGTAGTAGTTTCTGCTGTTGTTTTGTTTATTACACTTCATATTATAGGAAAGTTTTGTGGGATTACACTGGGTTTGTTGTTGTTATTATAGGAAAGTTTGAGTTGCTGATTGAGTAACATGAGAATGGATTGGAATTAGATGTAAGATGCCGTTTTATGAAGTTTTAATTTGAATGATATCACAATATTCATTAGATCCGGATTTTCTTTTGACTAAATTTTGAAATGTTCAAGTTTGTATGAATTTAAGTCCTTGATGTTGATGGTTGTAGCAAATGCCGGGACTGTCAACTACAGCTGATGTATTAAGTTAAAATCTGAAGGAACATAACAAAGTTAACGAGTTATGATACACTTTCTCACAATCTTCTTACTACTTTAAGGGAAAAATATTACGATGTCAGTAAGGAATATAGAAACGATAGCAAGATGTAGGCCTATTGTTAATTCTCAAACTTCGAGTGAGCATGGCATATTTTGTTGTAAAATCCCATGTTTGTGTTCCAATAGTCATGATATGAGTTGGTCCCTCTCTATGGTCACTTCATTTTACTTTCTTGGCAGGAAGGTATGGCACCAATAAATTTAGTAATTGAGACAGAAATGCACCGTGCAACTCCTGGCGGAACTGGAGGAGTCAAGACTATAGGAAATTATGCTGCAGTAAGCTAGGTTTATGGAAATTTAGCTTATTTCAGATTTCTCTTTATGTAACACAAAGTTTATCATGCTGAAAGCCTTAATTGGAGCCTGAGTTAGTTCCATTTTCTTCTTGGGGATTGAAAATGATAATTCATGAGGTCCCACTTAGCATGCTTTATCCTTTTTGACACCATCCTCAGCCTTTGTTCTTCCTTGAATATGATAAAGTCCTCTGCA